ATTATTATTATTATTATTATTATTATTATTATTATTATGCAAAAAAAAGTTACCAGGTTTAAATGAGACGTAGTAGGATGTCAGAAATGATGCTCAGTGAGGTTTGTAATGCAGATTAGGGGGAAAGCCAACTTTGAAGCTTTTCTTCATGCATGTCAGAACCACTCTGTGGTCTGTCGGCTTACAAACTTTTACRATTAAGTCTTGTCCGTCAGCGAAGAAACAGAACATATGTTGTTCTGTTTACATCTCCACGATCAGCTGAACATTGAACTATCCACTTTTAAATAAAGATGCATTTCTGCACCTTCTGATTTCACAGACAAGCAATGCGTAGTTTAAAACATACTGTACCTGCAGGCTCCTCTCTTGCAGGCCGGGAGGTTGATGCGGTATGCTAACTCTATGTGCTCCTGCCTGATTTCCTCTGGTTTTACCGTGTCCACCCAACTCCAAGCTGCTTTTTCCAGTTGTACACGGGGTGCCATCCTGCGACGTAAAGCGTACCAGTCAGATACTTGGGAAGCGATAAATGTACAGGCTGCAAGCTGTTTCCAGGCGATGCTAGCATAGCCACTTCCAGAAGCTAATGAGAAGTCCAAGTGCAGCTCCTCTCAAACAGCAGCTAGCCCTCTGTTGTTAGCACTGATCATGGTGCAACTTAGCTAACTAATGTAGCCTTTCACTGTTTTTTTAATCGAGCTCTAAAAGTGCAAAAAACAATTCGCGATAAAGTAAGCGCGTCAATACAAAAGTATGTTCAAAATGATTATTCAACTTATAAAAGCATTAAATTGGTGTTGGTTGCTAGCTAAAATGTAGCTAGCTCGACCGGTTTAGCTAGGCTTTTAAGTTACTTTGTTTATCGCAGTCTGCCGCAACCGAAACACATTTATTGTGTGCTAAGAACAAATCTCATCATGCTGCTGATTTACCAAAACAATAATGGATTTACATATTTTATTTGCAGTTTATTTTAGATTTAGCGCCCTTACGTCAGTTAATAAATAAATAAACTCTCCGATCAAAATCAACGCGACGTCAACAAGTGACGGAAGGACGGCACGTTCAGACTGGAGTGGAWGTATGGAAGGCGGAAACTGACACAATTAAAAATAAAAGCAGAAATGTAATAAAATAAATAAATACACTCTAAATGAATGGATTCATCTTAAAACGGACAGCTTTCACTCATGTTATATAATTTAGTTGACCTTTGTATTTATTTTTCCAGCTTAGTTCCAGCAAATTATATATTTCACATAATTTAAATGTTACTGTTTAAATTTTTTCCCCTGTACTTGAGGATGCATTTGTGCCTTTAATATGATATTTGTTTGCTTTTATTCCCCACAAGTCTTTTTATTTCCATGTGTTTTTACATTTCTCTGTCTCCTGTTTTTACTTTTTGCATTTTTGCCTCATCATGCAAATAAGATGGGCGTTCCTTGTTGGGTCAGCTCCTCTCCTATTGGAAAATCCATGTGCAGATCTACTGTACATATTGTGCTGCCTCAGTTTAACATAAAGTTTAAAGTTTAGTTTAAAACAAAGGCAAGGAGGAAAAACTTTTACCTGTGACTTTGTTTTAAACTAAACTTTAAACTAAACTAGCAACACAAACATACACAATCGATCTACACATGAATCCTGCTCCTTCCTGTCTACAGGAGAGGAGCTGACCCAAGCAGAGCAGCAGAACATTTGCATAATGAGGCAGCAACACACAAGATAAAGTAAAAACAGGAGACAGAGAAATGTAAAAACACGTCGAAATAAAAAGACTTGTAAGAAAAAGCAACAAAAAATAAAAACATTTAAGAGACAAAAATGCTTCTACAAGTAAATGGAAAAACAATATATATATATATATAT